TTTTTCCACTCAGCGGACAGGAGTGGAGGAGCAGGAGCATCTGGTAGAGGAGGAGGAGGAGACAGAGGACCCAGACGCACCGTGGCAGTATGCTGTGGAGATGGAGGCAGGGAGTCCCTCGCATTCCTTGGCACAAATGGCCCATAGCATGCTCGGTTGCTTGCGTAGCGACAGCCGAATAATAACCATCAGACAGAGGGATGACTTTTGGCTGTCCACCTTGTTGGACCCTCGCTACCGTTCAAAATGGTGGCCTTTTTTCACACCTGCTGAGAGGGAGGCCAAATAACGTACTATAAAAACCACCTATGTAGTCAGTTGGTCTCTGCCTTTGTGCGCCAACGTCCATCCTCAGACACTGTGGGCCCTGTGCGCTCGCGTTCCGCTGCCATGGCAGCAGGGGAGGGTGGGGTGGTAGGAGCAGTGGCAGCTCCACCCAGCAGCGGCTGCCTCAGTCTGCAGTCGATGATGAGTAGCTTTCTTCACCAGCGCAGTGAGGAAACTACTAACCAGCCGCAGCAGCAGCAGCAGCATCAGGTGGACCTGGAGCAGGACCTCAAACAACAGGCTTGGGCCTACTTGGACAGCACCCTGCCAACCGAGGTAGACAATCCCCTTGAATACTGGGCAACGAAACTTGACCTTTGGCCCCAACTAGCTGAATTTGCCCTTGAAAGGCTGTCATGCCCGGCCAGTAGCGTGGCATCGGAGCGCGTGCGTTTAGTGCGGCAGGAGGTATTGTAACTCCGCGGAGGACACGACTGTCCACCCAAAGTGTGGAGAGACTCACGTTTGTGAAAATGAATCAGGCGTGGATTAGTCTGGATTTCAAACCACCAGTTCCTGACACAACTGACTAAATCCGCCATGAATCATGCCCCAAACATGTGCCACTTTCAGGTCTCCTCACACTGCTGGTGTTTCCATTTTTTCATAGGGTGCTGGCAGATTACGGGCCTCCCATTGCTGCTGCCAGGCCCCTAATCTGCCATGGGCCCCTGTACCGCCTCCTCATGCTGCTGCAGCCAGGTCCAGAGTGTCTCATGGGTCCCTGTACGGCCTCCCATTGCTGCTGTCTCCATCGCCACACTCTGCCATGTGCCACTTTCAGGTCTCCTCACACTGCTGGTGTGTTTCCATTTTTTTGCATAGGGGTGCTGGCAGATTACGGGCCTCCCATAGCTGCTGCCAGGCCCCTAATCTGCCATGGGGCCCCTGTACCGCCTCCTCATGCTGCTGCCAGGTCCACAGTGTCTCATGGGTCCCTGTACGGCCTCCCATTGCTGCTGTCTCCATCGCCACACTCTGCCATGTGCCACTTTCAGGTCTCCTCACACACTGCTGGTGTGTGTTCCATTTTTTGTCATAGGGTGCTGGCAGATTACGGGCCTCCCATAGCTGCTGCCAGGCCCCTAATCTGCCATGGGCCCCTGTACCGCCTCCTCATGCTGCTGCCAGGTCCAGAGTCTCTCATGGGTCCCTGTACGGCCTCCCATTGCTGCTGTCTCCATCGCCACACTCTGCCATGTGCCACTTTCAGGTCTCCTCACACACTGCTGGTGTGTTCCATTTTTTGTCATAGGGTGCTGGCAGATTACGGGCCTCCCATGCTGCTGCTGCTGCCAGGCCCCTAAATCTGCCATGGGCCCCCCCTGTAACCGCCCTCCTCATGCTGCTGCTGCCAGGTCCAGGAGAGTGGTCTCATGGGTCCCTGTACGGCCTCCCATTGCTGCTGTCTCCATCGCCACACTCTGCCATGTGCCACTTTCAGGTCTCCTCACACTGCTGGCTGGGTGTTTTCCATTTTTTGTCATAGGGTGCTGGCAGATTACGGGCCTTCCATTGCTGCTGCCAGGCCCCTAATCTGCCATGGGCCCCTGTACCGCCTCCTCATGCTGCTGCCCAGTCCAGAGTGTCTCATGGGTCCCTGTACGGCCTCCCATTGCTGCTGTCTCCATCGCCACACTCTGCCATGTGCCACTTTCAGGTCTCCTCCACACACTGCTGGTGTGTTTCCATTTTTTGTCATAGGGTGCTGGCAGATTACGGGCCTCCCATAGCTGCTGCCAGGCCCCTAATAATCTGCCATGAAACTTGCTGCTGCCAGGCCCCTAATCTGCATGGGCCCCTGTACCGCCTCCTCATGCTGCTGCCAGGTCCAGAGTCTCTTATGGGTCCCTGTACGGCCCTCCCATTGCTGCTGTCTCCATCGCCACACTCTGCCATGTGCCCACTTTCAGGTCTCCCACACACTGCTGGTGTGTTCCATTTTTTGTCATAGGGTGCTGGCAGATTACGGGCCTCCCATAGCTGCTGCCAGGCCCCTAATCTGCCATGGGCCCCCTGTACCACCTCCTCATGCTGCTGCCTTCATGGGCCCCTGTCCACAGTCATGCTCTGCCATGGGTCCCTGTCTATACGGCCTCCCATTGCTGCTGTCTCCATCGCCCACACTCTGCCATGTGCCACTTTCAGGTCTCCTCACACTGCTGGTGTGTTCCATTTTTTGTCATAGGGTGCTGGCAGATTTACGGGCCTCCCATAGCTGCTGCCAGGCCCCTAATCTGCCATGGGCCCCTGTACCACCTCCTCATGCTGCTGCCAGGTCCAGAGTCTCTCATGGGTCCCTGTACGGCCTCCCATTGCTGCTGTCTCCATCGCCACACTCTGCCATGTGCCACTTTCAGGTCTCCTCACACACACTGCTGGTGTGTTCCATTTTTTGTCATAGGGTGCTGGCAGATTACGGGCCTCCCATAGCTGCTGCCAGGCCCCTAATCTGCCATGGGCCCCTGTACCGCCCTCCTCATGCTGCTGCCAGGTCCACAGTGTCTCATGGGTCCCTGTACGGCCTCCTCATTGCTGCTGTCTCCATCGCCACACTCTGCCATGTGCCACTTTCAGGTCTCCTCACACTGCTGGTGTGTTCCATTTTTTTTGTCATAGGGTGCTGGCAGATTACGGGCCTCCCATAGCTGCTGCCAGGCCCCTAATCTGCCATGGGCCCCCTGTACCGCCTCCTCATGCTGCTGCCAGGTCCACAGTGTCTCATGCCATGTGCCACTTTCAGGTCTCCTCACACTGCTGGTGTGTTCCATTTTTTTGTCATAGGGTGCTGGCAGATTACGGCCTCCCATAGCTGCTGCCAGGCCCCTAATCTGCCATGGGCCCCTGTAACCGCCTCCTCATGCTGCTGCCAGGTCCAGAGTCTCTCATGGGCCTCCCTTACTGGGTCTCTCGCCACACATTGCTGCTGCCACTTTCAGGTCTCCTCACCACAGCTGGGTGCAGCATTTTTTGTCAAAGGGAGTAGAGGCAGATTCCAATAGCCTACCCCCAGCTGCTGCTGCCAGGCCCTGGCTGCCATGGGCCCCTATGTACCGCCCGGATAAGAAGCAGTGCTGCCAGTGAGGAGTAACGGGGCAAAGTTTCCTACTCCATCGTCACACTCGACGGTGTGCCACTTTTCGTCAAGCTGGCCCATGCCCGAGGAAGTAAACGTAGCCGTAATGTCGACTAGGGTGCTGGCCAGATTAAAGTCAAGCGTGCCAGGCCATCTGGGGCCCATGTTACCGCCAATACATGCGTTGCTGCCAGTCCAGAGCTGCATGGGTCCCAGCATCACCATTCCTCCCGGTGCTGTCTGGGAAAACACTCTGATAAAGCCACTGTCGGTTCCCTTCAGGTCTCCTCACACTGCTAGGTGTGTTCCATTTTTTGTCATAGGGTGCTGGCAGATTACGGGCCTCCCATAGCTGCTGCCAGGCCCCTAATCTGCCATGGGCCCCTGTACCGCCTCCTCATGCTGCTGCCAGGCCAGTGTCTAGTGGTCATGTCTCATGGGGTCCCTGTACGGCCTCCCCATTGCTGCTGTCTCCATCGCCACACTCTGCCATGTGCCACTTTCAGGTCTCCTCACACTGCTGCTGTGTGTTCCATTTTTTGTCATAGGGTGCTGGCAGATTACGGGCCTCCCATAGCTGCTGCCAGGCCCTAATCTGCCATGGGCCCCTGTACCGCCCTCCTCATGCTGCTGCCAGGTCCACAGTGTCTCATGGGTCCCTGTACGGCCCCCCATTGCTGCTGTCTCCATCGCCACACTCTGCCATGTGCCACTTTCAGGTCTCCTCACTGCTGGTGTGTTTCCATTTTTTGTCATAGGGTGCTGGCAGATTACGGGCCTCCCAATAGCTGCTGCCAGGCCCCTAATCTGCCATGGGCCCATGGGCCCCTCATACCGCCTCCTCATGCTGTCCCTGTGCCTCCCATTGCTGCTGTCCACAGTGTCTCATGCCATGTGCCACTTTCAGGTCTCCTCACACTGCTGGTGTGTGTTCCATTTTTTTTGTCATAGGGTGCTGGCAGATTACAGGCCTCCCATAGCTGCTGCCAGGCCCCTAATCTGCCATGGGCCCCTGTACCGCCTCCTCATGCTGCTGCCAGGTCCAGAGTCTCTCATGGGTCCCTGTACAGCCTCCCATTGCTACCTCCCAGGAGGCAGCCAGGGTCGCAGCACTTGTCAGTGGAGGCAAATGGCCACGGAGTGAGCACCAGCTCCACTGCAGCCTACCACCACGGCCAGTAGTGGTGCCGGTGCGCACGGAGGAAGTAGCAGTCAGCTAGTGAGGAGTTAGCGGGGGCACCATGGTTTTACTCGCGGTGTGCCATTTTTCGTCAAGCCGCCCGAGGAAGTAAACGTCTGCCCAATGTCGACTATGTGGCCAGAAAGTCAAGCGTGGCCATTGGGGGCCCATGTTGGGACTACAGCGTTGCGTCAGCTCATGGGCAGCGTCTCCCATTTCGGTGGCCATGGGCCAACCGTGCCATAAAGTGCCACGGTCAGGTTCTGCCTGCACCCTGCCCAGGGTTCCATTTTTTGTCATAGGGTGCTGGCAGATTACGGGCCTCCCATTGCTGCTGCCAGGCCCCCCTAATCTCTGCCATGGGCCCCTGTACCGCCTCCTCATTGCTGCTGCCAGGTCCACAGTGTCTCATGCCATGTGCCACTTTCAGGTCTCCTCACACTGCTGGTGTGTTCCATTTTTTGTCATAGGGTGCTGGCAGATTACGGGCCTCCCATAGCTGCTGCCAGGCCCCTAATCTGCCATGGGCCCCTGTACCGCCTCCTCATGCTGCTGCCAGGTCCAGAGTCTCTCATGGGTCCCTGTACGGCCTCCCATTGCTGCTGTCTCCATCGCCACACTCTGCCATGTGCCACTTTCAGGTCTCCTCACACACTGCTGGTGTGTTCCATTTTTTGTCATAGGGTTCTGGCAGATTACGGGCCTCCCATAGCTGTTGCCAGGCCCCTAATCTGCCATGGGCCCCTGTACCGCCTCCTCATGCTGCTGCCAGGTCCAGAGTCTCTCATGGGTCCCTGTACGGCCTCCCATTGCTGCTGTCTCCATCGCCACACACTCTGCCATGTGCCACTTTCAGGTCTCCTCACACTGCTGGTGTGTTCCATTTTTTGTCATAGGGTGCTGGCAGATTACGGGCCTCCCATCAGCTGCTGCCAGGCCCCTAATCTGCCATGGGCCCCCTGTACCGCCTCCTCATGCTGCTGCCAGGTCCACAGTGTCTCATGGGTCCCTGTACGGCCTCCCATTGCTGCTGCCAGTAGGCAGCAGGGTCGCAGCAGCCAATGTGCCCACTTTGGAGGCAAACGGCCACGGAGTAGAGCACCAGCTCCACTGCAGTCCTACCACCACGGCCAGTAGTGGGTGCCCATGCTGCACGGAGGATGGTAGCAGTCAGCCATGGGCCCCTGTACGGGGGCCAAGTTTCCTACTCGCCAGCGGTGTGGCAATTTTTCGTCACTTTCAGGCCGCCCGAGGAAGTAAACGTGCCGTCCTATGTGGCCAAAAGTCAAGCGTGGCCAGGGGGCCCCATTTGGGACTACAGCGTTGCGTCAGCATCTGCATGAGGCGTCGTCCCATATTTCGTCATGGCCTGGGTCCAAAACCGTGTCTCAAAATACGGCGGTTCTGCCTGCCCCATCCCAGGGGTTCCATTTTCTCATCAGGGTGCTGGCAGATTACGGGCCTCCCATTGCTGCTGCCAGGCCTTAATCTGCCATGGGCCCCTGTACCCGCCTCCTCATGCTCATGCTATTGCCAGGTCCACAGTGTCTCATGCCATGTGCCACTTTCAGGTCTCCTCACACTGCTGGTGTGTTTCCATTTTTTTGCAATAGGGTGCTGGCAGATTACGGGCCTCCCATAGCTGCTGCTCCAGGCCCCTAAAACTGCCATGGGCCCCTGTACCCCCCCTCCTCATGCATGCTGCTGCCAGCCAGGTCCACAGTGTCTCATGGGTCCCTGTACCGCCTCCCATTGCTGCTGTCTCCATCGCCACATCGCCACACTCTGCCATGTGCCACTTTCAGGTCTCCTCACACTGCTCGTGTGTTCCATTTTTTGTCATAGGGTGCTGGCAGATTACGGGCCTCCCATTGCTGCTGCCAGGCCCGTAATCTGCCATGGGCCCCCAGTACCGCCTCCTCATGCTGCTTGCCAGGTCCACAGTCTCTCATGGGTCCCTGTACGGCCTCCCATTGCTGCTGTCTCCATCGCCACACTCTGCCATGTGCCACTTTCAGGTCTCCTCACACTGCTGGTGTGTTCCATTTTTTGTCATAGGGTTGCTGGCAGATTACGGGCCTCCCATAGCTGCTGCCAGGCCCCTAATCTGCCATGGGCCCCTGTACCGCCTCCTCATGCTGCTGCCAGGTCCAGAGTCTCTCATGGGTCCCTGTACGGCCTCCCATTGCTGCTGTCTCCATCGCCACACTCTGCCATGTGCCACTTTCAGGTCTCCTCACACACTGCTGGTGTGTTCCATTTTTTGTCATAGGGTGCTGGCAGATTACGGGCCTCCCATTGCTGCTGCCAGGCCCGTAATCTGCCATGGGCCCCCCCCGTACCGACTCCTCATGCTGCTGCCAGGCCCGTAATCTGTCCATGGGCCCCATGTTCCCTTACATGTTGGCATATTCGAATCAGATGCTCCTTCTCCTGCCTCCTCTTGCACGGATTGCCCGTCAGCAGTGTTTCTTGGAATCCGTCATCCATTGCCACTTTTCTCAGTCCCATTGGGCCACAATTTTTGCTGGCACGCACCCGACGGTGCTGTCAGCTGAACGTCCTCCTGTCCAAGTTGCTGCTGCCAGGCCCGTAATCTGTCATGCGCCCCTGTACCGCCATCCTCATGCTGCTGCCAGGTCCCAGAGTGTGTCATGGGCCCCCGTACCGACTCCTCATGCTGCTGCCAGGCCCGTAATCTGCTCATGGGCCCCTGTACCGCCTCCTCATGCTTGTTCCATGCTGCTGCCAGGTCCAGAGTGTGTCATGGGTCCCTGTACGGCCTCCCATTGCTGCTGCCAGGCCCGTAATCTGCCATGGGCCCCGTACCAGCTCCTCATGCTGCTGCCAGGCCCGTAATCTGTCATGGGCCCCTGTACCGCCTCCTCATGTGCTGCCAGGTCCAGAGTGGTCATGGTCCCGTACGGCCTCCCATTGCTGCTGTCTCCATCGCCTCCTGCCCCACTTTCAGGTCTCCTCTTGCATGGTGGGTTCCATTTTGTCATAGGGGTCCTGGCAGAGCTCCCTTAGCCTGGGCTGCAACCTTATACTGCCATGGGCCCCTGTACCGCCTCCTCATGCTGCTGCTGCCAGGTCCAGAGTGTGTCATGGGTCCCTGTACGCCTCCCATTGCTGCTGTCTCCATCGCCACACTCTGCCATGTGCCACTTTCAGGTCTCCTCACACTGCTGGTGGGTGTTCCATTTTTTGTCATAGGGTGCTGGCAGATTACGGGCCTCCCATAGCTGCTTCCAGGCCCCTAAATCTGCCATGGGCCCCCTGTACCGCCTCCTCATGCTGCTGCCAGGTCCACAGTGTCTCATGGGTCCCTGTACGCCTCCCATTGCTGCTGTCTCCATCGCCACACTCTGCCATGTGCCACTTTCAGGTCTCCTCACACTGCTCATGTGTTCCATTTTTTTGTCATAGGGTGCTGGCAGATTACGGGCCTCCCATTGCTGCTAGCCAGGCCCGTAATCTGCCATGGGCCCCTGTACCAGTACCGCCTCCTCATATGCTGCTGCCAGGTCCCCAGTCTCTCATGGGTCCCCTGTACGGCCTCCCATTGCTGCTGTCTCCATCGCCACGCAACTCTGCCATGTGCCACTTTCAGGTCTCCTCACACTGCTGGTGTGTTCCATTTTTTGTCATAGGTGCTGGCAGATTACGGGCCTCCCATAGCTGCTGCCAGGCCCCTAATCTGCCATGGGCCCCTGTATAGTATCGTCCTCCTCATGCTGCTGCCAGGTCCAGTCCCAGAGTGTGTCATGGGCCCCCGTACCTGACTCCTCATGCTGCTGCCAGGGCCCGTAATCTGTCATGGGCCCCTGTATCCGCCTCCTCATGCTGCTGCCATGTGTCCAGAGTGTGTCATGGGTCCCTGTACGGCCTCCCATTGCTGCTAGCCAGGCCCGTAATCTGCCATGGGCCCCGTACCAGCTCCTCATGCTGCTGCCAGGCCCGTAATCTGTCATGGGCCCCTGTACCTCCTCCTCATGCTGCTGCCAGGTCCAGAGTGTGTCATGGGTCCCTGTACGGCCTCCCATTGCTGCTGTCTCCATCGCCACACTCTGCCATGTGCCACTTTCAGGTCTCCTCACACTGCTGGTGGGTTCCATATTTTTGTCATAGGGTGCTGGCAGATTACGGGCCTCCCATAGCTGCTCCAGGCCCCTAAACTGCCATGGGCCCCTGTACCGCCTCCTCATGCTGCTGCTGCCAGGTCCACAGTGTCTCATGGGTCCCTGTACCGCCTCCCATTGCTGCTGTCTCCATCGCCACACTCTGCCATGTGCCACTTTCAGGTCTCCTCACACTGCTCATGTGTTCCATTTTTTTGTCATAGGGTGCTGGCAGATTACGGGCCTCCCATTGCTGCTACCAGGCCCGTAATCTGCCATGGGCCCCAGTACCGCCTCCTCATGCTGCTGCCAGTCCACAGTCTCTCATGGGTCCCTGTACGGCCTCCCCATTGCTGCTGTCTCCATCGCCACACTCTGCCATGTGCCACTTTCAGGTCTCCTCACACTGCTGGTGTGTTCCATTTTTTGTCATAGGTTGCTGGCAGATTACGGGCCTCCCATAGCTGCTGCCAGGCCCCTAATCTGCCATGGGCCCCTGTACCGCCTCCTCATGCTGCTGCCAGGTCCAGAGTCTCTCATGGGTCCCTGCACGGCCTCCCATTGCTGCTGTCTCCATCGCCACACTCTGCCATGTGCCACTTTCAGGTCTCCTCACACTGCTGGTGTGTTCCATTTTTTGTCATAGGGTGCTGGCAGATTACGGGCCTCCCATAGCTGCTGCCAGGCCCCTAATCTGCCATGGGCCCCTGTACCGCCTCCTCATGCTGCTGCCAGGTCCAGAGAGTCTCTCATGGGTCCCTGTACGGCCTCCCATTGCTGCTGTCTCCATCGCCACACTCTGCCATGTGCCACTTTCAGGTCTCCTCACACACTGCTGGTGTGTTCCATTTTTTGTCATAGGGTGCTGGCAGATTACGGGCCTCCCATTGCTGCTGCCAGACCCGTAATATGCCATGGGCCCCCGTACCGACTCCTCATGCTGCTGCCAGGCCCGTAATCTGTCATGGGCCCCTGTTGTCGCTTGTTGGCATATTCGTTCAGATGCTCCTTCTCCTGCTACTCCTCTTCACGGATTCCGTCAGCAGTCTTTCTTGGAATCCGTTTCCAAGAGACAACAGTTTGCGAGCACGCACCCGACGGTGCAGAAGCTGAACGTCCTCCTGTCCAAGTTGCTGCTGCCAGGCTCGTAATATGTCATGCGCCCCTGTACCGCCTCCTCATGCTGCTTCCAGGTCCAGAGTGTGTCATGGGCCCCCGTACCGACTCCTCATGCTGCTGCCAGGCCCGTAATCTGTCATGGGCCCCTGTACCGCCTCCTCATGCTGCTGCCAGGTCCAGAGTGTGTCATGGGTCCCTGTACGGCCTCCCATTGCTGCTGCCAGGCCCGTAATCTGCCATGGGCCCCCGTACCAGCTCCTCATGCTGCTGCCAGGCCCGTAATCTGTCATGGGCCCCTGTACCGCCTCCTCATGCTGCTGCCAGGTCCAGAGTGTGTCATGGGTCCCTGTACGGCCTCCCATTGCTGCTGTCTCCATCGCCACACTCTGCCATGTGCCACTTTCAGGTCTCCTCACACTGCTGGTGGGTTCCATTTTGTCATAGGGTGCTGTATGGCCTCCCATTGCTGCTGCCTCCACCGCCATACTGTGGCTCCACTCTGGTTTTGGCCCCGTGACTGCCCAAATGAGTGAAGTGTGCGGTGATTCTAAGATTGACGGCACTCATCTGCATGTACTACTGACTGACAGTATTATTTCTCTTCCCCAGCAGACTCCAAGGGCATTTAAATTAAAGGTACAGTGTTCTGCACTAATATAAAGGCTCTCTGAAGCCTAGAAACACCCTTTTATAAGTTAAATTCGCATCGAATCGAAATTTTATCACGAATTCGCCGAATCAGTCGAATCGAATTTTTGAATAATTCGCTCATCTCTTCTCATAAATATTAACTTCATTAAAGTGATCCGATGGAGCTAATAGATTTTACTTTAATAATCACTGATGAAACATGAGAGATCAAATTCTTTAGGCCCTTTAGGGCCAAACAATTAATTTTTGTAATATCCAGTGGGACTCTTTTTTGCTGATTTTCTCTAACTAGTTTATCTCCTCTCCAGTGCCTACTATGCCTCTCTATACCCCAAAACTCTAATTTGTCTGTTTCTGATTGTGAAATTGATGAAAGTGTAAAGGTACATTATGAATTATTTATAGCCTTTATTGATGTTATAGACGTGTTCTTTGATTCGTTCTTTCAATGTTCTTTTTGTTCTGCCGATATAGATCCAAATTACAGGGACATTTTAGCGCGTACATCACTCCTTTTGTATCGCAAGATATAAATTGTTTCATTTTATATGATTTACCATTAATAGGATTTCCTATTAACCTTCGTTTGGGATTATTTTTCATTCTTTTACAACTATAGCATCTGCCACATGTGTAAAATCCAGTTCCCTGGAAAAAAGTATATCTGATGTCTGGATTGGGTAGATCTAAGATGTTCTTAACTACTTTATCCTGGATGTTAGGAGCTTTTTTATAAATAAATCTAGGTCTGTCTTTAACGATATTCTTCAAATCCTTGTCTAATGTTAATACATCCCAGTGTTTGTTTATTATTTGTTGTATATCTTTAAATTGTCTGTTGAATGGCATTTTTTACATAGATACATTCATGTTTTCTGTATTAGTTTTTTATATTGTTATTTTCTAGAAGATTTTTTCTATCTAGTACTTCGATTTGCTTCCTCTCTTGCTCTTTTGCTTCTCTTCTGTACCCTTTATCTATAAATCTTTTTATTAGAATGTTAATTTTATTTTTTAGAATCTACTAGGTTAGTGCGGTTTCTTCTTAGACGCATGAACTGCCCTCTCCGGATATTTTTTTTATCCATGGTTTTGTAATGACAGCTGTTAGTTGGTATGAATGCATTTCTGTCCGTTTTTTAAAAAAAAGTTTTTGGTGTATATTATATATGTGATCCATTTTTTATTAACCATATGTCCAGAGAAAATTTGCCTCCTTATTACTTATATTCCATCTCAAAGTTAGATTTTTATGATTTTCATTAAGGCCTTCATAGAATTTAGATAATGAAACTTCATCCCCATTCCATTTATACTATCAAAATCATCTATAGATCTATGGTTATAATACCATTTCTTTCCTTTGATTTTGGAATATACTTTTTTCCTCTTCCCATTTGTGCCATGTTATAGGTTCGCTATGCTAGGGGCGACTCGAGCGCCCATAGCAACCCCTTTCAAAATAAAAGTTTATTTTTATTCTGATACCAGAAAGTAATTGTGATTTAAACTAAATACAAAGCATTCCAGCAAAAGGTTTTGTTGTTTTTATATGATAGGGTGGAGTACTTTGTTAGGGCCCATTTTGCCGCCTTAATGGCTCCCTCATGATCTATGATGGTATAGATAACGATACGTATGCTGGGCTTAGTTTGGTTTTTTTCATTAATGTGTAAATGTTAGTAGTTAGAATGATAAAGCCTAGTATCTTTGAGGTGCGCCTTATAATTTGTTCTACTAATGGTTCTAGTTTTATATTTATATCTCTGTTTTCTTCCTAATCTTGCTGTTAAAAAAATATAATATGTAAAATTTTTTAAGTTGATATGATTTGTTTAATTTTGTATATTAAATATGGTAAAAAATTTAAATTAAAAAAAAAATAACAAAAAAAAAAAAAAAAAAAAAATAAAAAAAAAAAAAAATAAAAAAAAAAAAAAAAAAAAAAAAAAAAAAAAAAAAAAAAAAAAAAAAAAAAAAAAAAAAAAAAAAAAAAAAAAAAAAAAAAAAAAAAAAAAAAAAAAAAAAAAAAAAAAAAAAAAAAAAAAAAAAAAAAAAAAAAAAAAAAAAAAAAAAAAAAAAAAAAAAAAAAAAAAAAAAAAAAAAAAAAAAAAAAAAAAAAAAAAAAAAAAAAAAAAAAAAAAAAAAAAAAAAAAAAAAAAAAAAAAAAAAAAAAAAAAAAAAAAAAAAAAAAAAAAAAAAAAAAAAAAAAAAAAAAAAAAAAAAAAAAAAAAAAAAAAAAAAAAAAAAAAAAAAAAAAAAAAAAAAAAAAAAAAAAAAAAAAAAAAAAAAAAAAAAAAAAAAAAAAAAAAAAAAAAAAAAAAAAAAAAAAAAAAAAAAAAAAAAAAAAAAAAAAAAAAAAAAAAAAAAAAAAAAAAAAAAAAAAAAAAAAAAAAAAAAAAAAAAAAAAAAAAAAAAAAAAAAAAAAAAAAAAAAAAAAAAAAAAAAAAAAAAAAAAAAAAAAAAAAAAAAAAAAAAAAAAAAAAAAAAAAAAAAAAAAAAAAAAAAAAAAAAAAAAAAAAAAAAAAAAAAAAAAAAAAAAAAAAAAAAAAAAAAAAAAAAAAAAAAAAAAAAAAAAAAAAAAAAAAAAAAAAAAAAAAAAAAAAAAAAAAAAAAAAAAAAAAAAAAAAAAAAAAAAAAAAAAAAAAAAAAAAAAAAAAAAAAAAAAAAAAAAAAAAAAAAAAAAAAAAAAAAAAAAAAAAAAAAAAAAAAAAAAAAAAAAAAAAAAAAAAAAAAAAAAAAAAAAAAAAAAAAAAAAAAAAAAAAAAAAAAAAAAAAAAAAAAAAAAAAAAAAAAAAAAAAAAAAAAAAAAAAAAAAAAAAAAAAAAAAAAAAAAAAAAAAAAAAAAAAAAAAAAAAAAAAAAAAAAAAAAAAAAAAAAAAAAAAAAAAAAAAAAAAAAAAAAAAAAAAAAAAAAAAAAAAAAAAAAAAAAAAAAAAAAAAAAAAAAAAAAAAAAAAAAAAAAAAAAAAAAAAAAAAAAAAAAAAAAAAAAAAAAAAAAAAAAAAAAAAAAAAAAAAAAAAAAAAAAAAAAAAAAAAAAAAAAAAAAAAAAAAAAAAAAAAAAAAAAAAAAAAAAAAAAAAAAAAAAAAAAAAAAAAAAAAAAAAAAAAAAAAAAAAAAAAAAAAAAAAAAAAAAAAAAAAAAAAAAAAAAAAAAAAAAAAAAAAAAAAAAAAAAAAAAAAAAAAAAAAAAAAAAAAAAAAAAAAAAAAAAAAAAAAAAAAAAAAAAAAAAAAAAAAAAAAAAAAAAAAAAAAAAAAAAAAAAAAAAAAAAAAAAAAAAAAAAAAAAAAAAAAAAAAAAAAAAAAAAAAAAAAAAAAAAAAAAAAAAAAAAAAAAAAAAAAAAAAAAAAAAAAAAAAAAAAAAAAAAAAAAAAAAAAAAAAAAAAAAAAAAAAAAAAAAAAAAAAAAAAAAAAAAAAAAAAAAAAAAAAAAAAAAAAAAAAAAAAAAAAAAAAAAAAAAAAAAAAAAAAAAAAAAAAAAAAAAAAAAAAAAAAAAAAAAAAAAAAAAAAAAAAAAAAAAAAAAAAAAAAAATAAAAAAAAAAAAAAAAAAAAAAAAAAAAAAAAAAAAAAAAAAAAAAAAAAAAAAAAAAAAAAAAAAAAAAAAAAAAAAAAAAAAAAAAAAAAAAAAAAAAAAAAAAAAAAAAAAAAAAAAAAAAAAAAAAAAAAAAAAAAAAAAAAAAAAAAAAAAAAAAAAAAAAAAAAAAAAAAAAAAAAAAAAAAAAAAAAAAAAAAAAAAAAAAAAAAAAAAAAAAAAAAAAAAAAAAAAAAAAAAAAAAAAAAAAAAAAAAAAAAAAAAAAAAAAAAAAAAAAAAAAAAAAAAAAAAAAAAAAAAAAAAAAAAAAAAAAAAAAAAAAAAAAAAAAAAAAAAAAAAAAAAAAAAAAAAAAAAAAAAAAAAAAAAAAAAAAAAAAAAAAAAAAAAAAAAAAAAAAAAAAAAAAAAAAAAAAAAAAAAAAAAAAAAAAAAAAAAAAAAAAAAAAAAAAAAAAAAAAAAAAAAAAAAAAAAAAAAAAAAAAAAAAAAAAAAAAAAAAAAAAAAAAAAAAAAAAAAAAAAAAAAAAAAAAAAAAAAAAAAAAAAAAAAAAAAAAAAAAAAAAAAAAAAAAAAAAAAAAAAAAAAAAAAAAAAAAAAAAAAAAAAAAAAAAAAAAAAAAAAAAAAAAAAAAAAAAAAAAAAAAAAAAAAAAAAAAAAAAAAAAAAAAAAAAAAAAAAAAAAAAAAAAAAAAAAAAAAAAAAAAAAAAAAAAAAAAAAAAAAAAAAAAAAAAAAAAAAAAAAAAAAAAAAAAAAAAAAAAAAAAAAAAAAAAAAAAAAAAAAAAAAAAAAAAAAAAAAAAAAAAAAAAAAAAAAAAAAAAAAAAAAAAAAAAAAAAAAAAAAAAAAAAAAAAAAAAAAAAAAAAAAAAAAAAAAAAAAAAAAAAAAAAAAAAAAAAAAAAAAAAAAAAAAAAAAAAAAAAAAAAAAAAAAAAAAAAAAAAAAAAAAAAAAAAAAAAAAAAAAAAAAAAAAAAAAAAAAAAAAAAAAAAAAAAAAAAAAAAAAAAAAAAAAAAAAAAAAAAAAAAAAAAAAAAAAAAAAAAAAAAAAAAAAAAAAAAAAAAAAAAAAAAAAAAAAAAAAAAAAAAAAAAAAAAAAAAAAAAAAAAAAAAAAAAAAAAAAAAAAAAAAAAAAAAAAAAAAAAAAAAAAAAAAAAAAAAAAAAAAAAAAAAAAAAAAAAAAAAAAAAAAAAAAAAAAAAAAAAAAAAAAAAAAAAAAAAAAAAAAAAAAAAAAAAAAAAAAAAAAAAAAAAAAAAAAAAAAAAAAAAAAAAAAAAAAAAAAAAAAAAAAAAAAAAAAAAAAAAAAAAAAAAAAAAAAAAAAAAAAAAAAAAAAAAAAAAAAAAAAAAAAAAAAAAAAAAAAAAAAAAAAAAAAAAAAAAAAAAAAAAAAAAAAAAAAAAAAAA